GCCTGAACTGAAAGAGTTTGACATAATCAAAGTGTCTGATTAGTAGTGTATGAAAGGGCCATATACTGTGAAATGGCCTAAATAATTCTGATGTTTGTTATATCATTCAATACACATATTTATTGGATTTTTAACTTATACTAGCGAATTCGGGTTATTAAAATGGTGGCTCTATAAATTCGCGCTTGCCATCGGCTAATATTATTTCTGACCCACCTCTCTTCTTAGTCACGTTGATTTTACGTTATCTCGGGAGAAATGGGACTATTTCGAATGATCCATACTGCTGTACTAGTGCGAGTCCTTACCTACTAGATCTTTGGACTCTAAATGCAGGACCTCCATTGTTCTCATCCAGGTAGGTCACATTAGTGTGGCCGTTCGTCAGATACCTTGATTCGTCGTGCGTGTACAGTTGGGTGACCACCAACTCCCACCACACTCCATTTAACTGGTCATAATAATAATAATAATAATAAAAATAATAAATAAATAAATAAATAAGTAATGATAATAATGGTAAATACGCTATTCATACCTCTTTCCGATGAACTCCGCACTTGATGGTAAAAATTAAATATTAAAATATAATAATGTCTCATTTTTACCATCAAGCGTTCATGTCCATTAGAGTTGTTTTAAACAATGAAGACTAAGAACACAATAACGAGATCATGAAATGACATTTCTGGATAGGTTTTGCAATCAAACATTTTTAATGAATTTTTGTTTCATCTAAATCGAGATCTCACACACATGCTTTGCCTTTAAGGGACTTACCTTAGCCGGATCAAGGCCGGTCATTGGACCCATGTTACACTTCTCATGAAAAGGCAAAGAACTGGACTTTTTTCCTGTCGACACCAAGGTTATCACACTGCAAGCTGTCAATAGGAAGAGAGACCCCGGCATTTTGTTGTCGTGAGATCAACGCGTATCCAGGCAATGTTTAACGGGATAATAGATAACTATAGTGCCACGGTAAACGGTTAATTTGGGTCTTGCTGTTCTGACAATACGCCGAATAGCCAAATATGGTGCTTGCGTTATTGCAACTATTACCTCGGAAGACGGACGGTTAACTGAGGCCTGGCGTCTCTTTTTATAAGATAATGTTGTCATTTGAACCTCTATGAAGATGCACAGTTCAGTGTAACCAATCACATGGTTTCTTTTAATTGGCTTAGGGCAGAATAGCCAATGGCAGCATTCCGTTCAATACTTTCTGAACCGTTGTGTTCGAGCCGAAAGTATCCTTCATCGAACTGGGTCTGCCTAGTTCTGTCGTGTTGATCCACAATACCACCGAATTTAAGACAAAAACCGTTAAGTTCAACAAATCATAAACGAAAAATATTGCATACATAGAAGAAATAAAACCCGCATGGCAAATATAACGCTACAAGTTATCATGTTGTTTCACCTACCAGTATTAAAATTTCCAGCGGGTTGTGATGCTGGCAATGTATAACTTAACTGGTGTCTGCTATTTACGGTTCAAAGTCCTCAAGTATGTCAATTTTGAATCTATCCAGATTACTTGCAGGACCAATGGTCTGAGCAGCTACTGTGACCATCAAAATTACCAGATTTGAAGCCTATAATCTGTGGGAAGCCAGTACTCGCCGAATCAACGGCCTACTGGTCCTACAACATATCTGAACCAAACTGGACAAGCTATGCTCGATAATATTATTATTCCAGTTCAAAATCCAAGAAACCTGTCACAAGGAATACCTTGCCGTTATTGAGCCCTGGTAGCAGCCAGATGAGGCCAGACAAACCACTGACCGTTGAAGTGGCTAGACACTAATTTTAACTCTTTCAAAGATGATAATGTGGAAAATATGGAGATTGCACGGTTTATTTATTAACGGTTGCTGTTTAACTAAGAACCAGCCATGTACACACATTGGACAATAGAAGTGTCAAGCCCTGAATCATAGTAATCAAAGTTATAATGCCCGGGCTTCTTATAATGTGACTAATGAGTATAAAACCGCTGTACCATGGGGTTGTACTGTTGGTCTTTTTGTGAAATTTGATGTAAAAAAAATGATACCAGGAGCATGTGATTCCACAGGCATTTATCTACCCCAGTAGGGGTGACACTTCTATTGTTCAGCGTGTGTATTTCTGTTTGCTTTATGAGGTGGATTCAATTAAAGAACTGATGTCAAAATTACACTTGCAAATATAATTAAAAATAATTAAAAGAAGATTCAACGACTTGTTGTCATTTATAAGTCGGAGAAGTAGAACAAAAATCAATATTTAATAACAACTCTGTACATTATGCAGATATTTTCAGAGCAACATAGAAAAGTTAAAGGCTACTTAGAGAAAGGAAAATCTGGTAAGTCCTTATGTTGTAAGTTATCTACAAACCAAGTCTAAACATATCATGTTTTTTTATCAGAAACTATGGATAAAAGGTGGAATGTATTTTTAAAATAGGATGGATCCCATACCAGGATTGAAATGCGGGTACATATACTGTTGAATCAAAATGTGTTATGCGTATACAAAGTATGTGTGAAAGCCCATTTAAACTTACATCACTCACTAAAAAAATTAAGTGGTAAACAGGCAATCAAGGTTTATTTGACTTTCACAATAACAGTTGCATAATGAAATTTTGTACTCCCTGTGCTGTTTCTTACCAAAGACCAAAACGTAGACAGATTTGCTCCAGACATTATTAAATAGGTGACTATATTTACCCATTCACTGTTGAGAGTCATTTTGATGGCATGACATAAATTTGTCTTTGAACATACGAACATTATATTCAGTATGGCAGCAAATGAGGGAGAGTGAGTATTAGTTTTGAGTTTAGAGAGAGAAAGAGAGAGAGAGATTGATAATTAAGACATTAGTACTGAATTTAGCTTCAGACTTTTACTACAACATTTAGTGACGAAATATCATGAGAAAATATTGTTTGAGGCCACGTGACGGGAGAAATCTCGCTTATTCGAGAATCTAGGTCCAAATTGCAACGGGAGGCAGCCACTGTGAAAATCTTTAACACTATACTTACTCACTAACTCAATAATCTAGTGACGTGTGTAGAAATCCTTTTGAGGAATAAACAATTCGGAGACCCAATAAAGGCACGTTAATTTAAATAATAATCAAACTTATAGAAATCAACATTCTGTAAACAAGGATACACATATGTAGCCAGCCGGTCACAACTAGCGCAATGTTTTAGCACAACCAGTCACAACTAACGCAATGATTTAGCACATCCAGTCACAATTTACACAATGGTTATAGCATACCTGGTCAAATCTATCACAACATTTATATAATCTACATACTGTAACTCAAGTATGTTCCATTTCCATGAACTTCATTGCTCTCAGACATGGGAAATACGGTTTGAAGGGGGACAGCACACGTGACAGAGGCAACTAATTACATATAATATTTCATGGGGTTCTGTTCATGACATGGAAGAGCCCTTGGTATCATTTATTTCATTTATTCCTTATGTGCCCATTCGATAAGACCCGATGTCAATGTCAACCTTGATTTAAATTAATCCCTCCCACTTATATTATGTTGATGCGTAACAGAGCAAAATATGCGTCAGAAATCAGAAAAGGTCCACCGAATCTCAAATCATATTTGCATTTACAGTCGAAACTGGATTCGCTTTAGACTCTACTTATAAGTCTAATGGGACGAGTACAGTATTTTGCTTTGAATTCTTGAAATATATCAAGACAGGATTTCAGTTCAATTAAACGTGTTATCAGTGTTCTGAAGCACTGATACTTATTCAGCCTGGGATCACCCAGTGCAATTACAATACCACAGGTTATACTGTTGTTTGAAATTAAAGTGCCTTACAGTGTATTATGATGCGGACACTTTTTGAAGTTGAAGAAGTGCCTTTCGACTATATATATATTGGATTATTACAGTGGCAGATTTGCAATGCAGGCACATATATGTTTTCTAGCTTGCATGACACACTCAAAAAATTCGACCAAATGTTTTATACCACTAGCAATTAGTGCATTTATTCCAGGAATATTGGAGTACCAGTATATAAAGCAACACCGATGACAGGATATAGTGTAGTGTTTTGTAGTGTTCGTGCCGTTTCTGTAAAATGATAAAAAATGGAGACTGGTGTAAAACGGAAATTGTTGAATAGGACACCGTTAAATATGACTGTTGAAAATGAACAAATGTTCATAAGACAGGATTTGCTTAACTTATTAATTTTAAAATTCTCGATTATTTATTCATGTAGATATACGATAAATATGACTGAATATGTGTTCGACAAGTTCATTTTTTGAAAAAAATTAAGGATTTTATCAGCATCAATTATCTCCATTTTATTTTTATTCTGTTTTTATTTTGCACATTAGCGCAATTATATATTATATGAATATGTCAAAGGCTATAGGCTCAATTTATTGAGGAATAGTTCAATTCTGCCTAGGCCCAGTATTAATTGGGAGTAACGCATTGTTAAAAGTCATATGCACGAGTTTGAAAATGTCCCACAGTTATAATTAAATCCTGCAAAGCTCCTTGTATTTTCCATCATTTAAGGTTTTTATAAGATGGCTAAGATGGCTGCCAAACACTATACTTTCTTCCACACATTAGGCCTTAAACATGGGGTCATTATTTCAACTTATTGGTGCACTAGAGATGTAAGTATTATTCCATTTACCTTTGAAGTTTATTTATACCCTTTTATAAATCCAGTAATGTCGTCAGCAGTCACATTTGTTGCTCCAAAAATCGAATGATGTCATACTTCATACTAGCTTCAAACGCCATCCAAAGTGTTAAATGTACTTTTTCCCCTAATTAAAAGAATTTTAGCTACCATGTAATGTGACAAACATTTAGTTTCTTTGGTTGAGAAGGATTGCAAACGGATATTTGTCTTTGGAGTATTATATTCACAATTAAAAAGAGAGAGGGGGATAGAGTACAATACCACAGACCATTAACATAATACTTTTAGATTCAGACATTTATTTATCTCAGTTAACGGTGAAATAGAGTCTGAAATAATTTTGTGTTTATGTGATAAGGGGAATTTCACTTATTCGAGAATCTCAGACCAACTGGCATTGGGAGGCATCCCGCAAACTGAAAAAAGTTTTAATGAGACACCATTAACATATTAAAAAACAAACATAACTTGACTGTTAACGGCTGAATATAAGGTAATAGAACTGTTTTTTTAGTTTTTCAAAGTAAATTATACCCTTATTCAAATCTTATTTGATTGGGATATTTTAACTTAGATAAGATGAGTACATGTAAACCCATTACAATGTTTAATCGCATCCGCTTATATTTGAAGCGATGTTAAACAATACGCAGTCACCCATAAAAGAATTTCATCTAGTCGCACCCAACACAATTTTATAACACACTCAAGGACAACTAAAACACTGATACAGCACCCAGTCACAACTAAAACAATGTAAAAGCGCACACAATCACAATAATTTCATGGATCGTGACTATTCCTTCATACCTCCAGTATGTTCCATTGCCACATACTTCTGTTCTCTCATACATGGGTCCGAAGAAATACGGTTCAACAATGTAGCAACGTCGCTGGGACTGAAGCACAAGTGCTGGCTCCAGAGGTGGTATGTGCTCTCGCCAAGTTCTGGGTAGTATTGGCGGCACAAAACGGAGTGACCATTTGTTTCTACAATGGTTTTGTAATACATAATGGTCCCATCTGAAAGGAAGGAAATTTAACTAGAGTAAGAGACAAGGTGTTTCAAGGAATTTGTTGAAATTATCATTGAGGAAGGAGAGAAATATCAGCAAATGCAACTTTTCAGAGAGCCCAGACAAGCAACTAAGTAACACAATTGAAATGATTTTTAATAAGCTCAATTATCATTTTCAATTTTAATTAGATCAAATTAAAACTTAAATACCGCCAAATCAACCTTTAGCCAGTTCTTTGTAAGTATATGATCACAAAAAGTCATTATTATTATTATTATTATTATTATTATTATTATTATTATTATTTTGATCTTGGACCAAAATTTCAGAGGTCACCAGAAAGTCTTGTCTAGGAGTAAGCTTCCTTTTAGCCCTTTTCAGTGAGTTTTTTAAAAAGTCCATGAAACACGGCGAATGCTTCATTAGACAAACTTACCGTCTTTTGTGGCTACAAGCACTCCCGGTTGTTCTGTTTGAAAATAATTGAAGTCAAACTCGTCGCACGTGTTCTCATTTGACCAGCTGTAAAACAAAATGAGAACCAAGACTGAGTGCTCAATGATTTTGCTTGAGACCGTGTGCCTTACTTATTTATGTCACCATAGAACTAACCAGGGCGCGATTGGACGCTCAAATGCGCCACAGTGGACGCTCGAAAAAAGGTCGTACAAGGGAGCGTGTCGGGTCGTCAAGAACACTCTGATCGCCACAAAGTTTTCCGTGTGTTCAAGACAATTCCGTATATGGGTCATCTCAAAGCATTTCGCTGCTTAATTTACAACCATTTGTCGGATCCTCCAAATAGGATTTATTTTGAATTAAATGAATATCGTCTATATCTAAATGTTTGGGAATATTGCACAGATATAACCTAGTATATTGGAATTCATATAGTTATTATTATAATGAGTGATGTCACATGAGACAAGGGTAAATGTTAACTCGGTCCTGGTTTGAAATAGAAATGAATATTTCCGCTGAGTTGTCGTCTTAGGAGGAAATACAAATCTGACGTGAAATACACGGTTGCTTTCTCATGTTTAACATAAGACTAATTCGTATCATAAGTGAAACCAAAAGGCCAATATCATCGGAAAAAATTATCAGCTTCTATTTGGGAACTCTCTTGTCTTCTTTCATTTTAGAGCCTACTCTTTAAAGCTCCTAAAGTCTTGTTTTCTATCAAACCAAGGAATTGTATCCGATATAATTCCCTGATCAAACTAAGTTGCGAAGAATTGTCACTATATCGATTCATCTTTGTTGTTCTTACCTTCTAAACCTGCGCATTCTTAAGCCTGGGCCGCCGCTGTTCTCATCCAGGTAGGTCACATTTAAACGACCGTCCTGCAGATATCTAGACTCGTCGTGCGTAGACAGCAGGGTGACCACCAACTCCCACCAAATTCCATTGAACTATTTATAATAATAATAATAATAATAATAATAATAATAATAATAATAATATCAACAACAACAGCAACACTTACAATAATAATAATAATAGTGATAATAATAACAATAATAACAGAAACGTTAACAATTATAATAATAATACTTAAAGTTTTATAGTTTTTAAGGTTTTGAATTAAGAAGGAACATATCCTGTTTTAAAAGAAAAATGTATTTTAATCTATGCAAACATGTAACATGTATACTTTTTAATGGACGTACCTTACTCAAATCAAGATCCGTGATAGGATCAAGGTTGCACTGCTTAGGAATAGGCATAAGCCTGGCCTTTTCCCTTGACGACACCAAGATAACTACACTGCAAGCAACCAGCAGAAAGAGTAACCTGTACATTTTGCTGCTATGAGATACACACGTATTCAAGCAGTATCACGTAGATGAGCTGACAATAATTGATAGCGGTGACCTGCAATAAATAGTGCCTCGATAGCCTGCTTTCTCGAGCCCTACGGTTCTGCTTATAGACTGAATGAACAATACAGACCTTGCACTATTATGATTATATCTGCGGTACTTGCGCGGTTAACTCAACCGGCCTGTCGTTTTATACAAAAATGTTGTATTTCCGACCCATGACAGTTCGACATTGACAAGGCTAACCAATTATATGGCTTCTATTTATGAGATTTTGTTGATGAGCCAATGGTATCATTCTTTTCAACACTTCCTCATCCCCTGTTGGATGTGACCTAGCCAATGTCAACCTTGCTTTTAATCGAACCCACCCCAACCGCTGTGATCGGGCCGATGACACAATCAAATTAGATTAGTCCACCTCCCTATTCCGTCGTTTTGACCCAGAACAGAGAAAAATGTAAGTCAGGAATCGTTACATTACAAATCAAGTAAACAGACTGGGACCACACAGAACAAGACAATTAAAACCAATGACTTTAAAAAGACATAAGCTTTTCATTACGAAGAAGAACACCGGTAGTCATTTTCGGGGAAAAATATCATTAAGCCAAGATGGGCTGCAACTGCAAATGAATTTCAATTAACAGCCACTCTCAGATGGGGAGATATTGCCACAGTTTTTATCGAGTCTAGAAATATCATTGCTTACCTGAAAGTGAAATAAAAATTTTACATTGGAAATTGGATAATTACAGTGGAAGTTTGAAATGCAGGCACATATACAGTATTGACTGACATACACGTGTCTGGCACTTTCGTGTGAAGGCCGCTTTTTATAGTATCACTCGCATAATAAATTCGACATACCATTTAATATTTTACCTGCAGCAATGTCGTAAGCAGCTACTCAGTTCTGATATAGGTATAACAACGGGAAAAACGATAAAAAAGCTAGACTATAATGTTCTCTAGACATTATTTAATAGTGCCATGTCACTTAATGTGAAAGCGATGAGAACGTACAAAAGAGTATGATCACTTCTAAATGTTTATCCTAAAATAGTATTTATGTAAAGTGAAAAAAGGACACTATCGACTGATGCCTTGTTTGTGTGCTCTAAAAAGATTATAACTTTTTTTAAGAAAAAAACTAGGGAGTAACTTTGGATATTGTAAAGTATAAGAACTTTGTTGTTAACCCCGGGAAAATCCTCTTTCAGAACTGAATAAAATTGTTTACTGTTAAGTTTTAAATGTGACATCATGTCATTTATGCGCTAAACTTCTAGACCTACATGCTAACTCCAGAACCGCCATTTTTCTCATCCAAGTAAGTAATATTGATGTCGACTTTCTGCAAATACTTTGACTTCTGTCCTGTGCAGACGATCAACCCATACCACACTCCAGTTAACTAATAACAAGAACAATAAAAAAACTACTACTTTGCTTCAGATTCTTGATAATCGAAATATAGTAAGAAGGGATAAAAGTACATGTGTCATGTGCGTTATGAAGCACTAGATACTTAATCAGCTTGGGATCACCCAGTGCAAATACAATACCACAGGTTATACTGTTGCTTGAAATAAAAGTGCTCTCCAGTGTATTATGATGCTGACACTTTAAAGTTGAAGTCTCGCCTTTAGACTGCTTTAATTTGTGGTTCACTGTCAATAAGTATGTTACCCACCAGAACTCCACGGCACTCTATATGAATTATATCGGAAGCACTATGGGATTATTATTATTATGAAGGGAATACGCCTCACAGGACCCTATACGTTGGCAAAATAAATAAATAAATAAATAAATTAATTAATTAATTAATTAATTAATTAATTAATAAGATCAACACGTTTGTCTTATTAACTAGTTGGAAGGCTTGTTAAGAAGAACATTGATAACCATTCTTAGACCAACTGAGTCAACATGAAGGCCTCTCTCATAAGGGACTGGTAAATACTGCGGTTAAAATGCAGCAATTGGCCCAGTCTAAACGTGCCATATTTAAGATCAAACCCTCTGACTGAACGTAGAAAAATATATTGGAAATTGGATTCTTAGGGTAACCGATTTCTTAATGCACGCACATCTGTGAGAAGGGTGTTTTTAACATGCATTTGTCACTTAAAAAATCTACCAATGTCTTTTTTTCCTCTACCAATTTGTGCGTATGCATTTATTACAGAATTATTAGAGTACCAGTATATAAAGCAACATTGATGACAGGATGTTTTTGTAGTGTTTATGCCGTTTCCTGTAATATGATAAAAGAAATGTAGTGTACAATGATAGATATTCAACTTTTTAATAGGACTGTGAAAAATGAACAGTTGTTCATAAGACATGAGTTGATTTTTTTTTTTTTCAAATTTTGAATATTTGTTCATGTAAAATAGATTAAAAAAGACTGTAAGCCACCATGTGCTCGACAAGATTAATTTAAAAAAATATATCGGCATTAATTTTGTCAGGTTCATTTGTTATTCTGGTTATGTACAGGCACACGTTGGTTTGTCACCATCGTCACCGTGCACTTTCACCGATAACACAATAAGTGGGAAAACGTTTTTCTTTTTTGTCTTTAAACTTACGGAACTGATGAAAATTTAAAAATTATCAGGTCAAGTTTGAAAATCAGCTTGAGCGGACCATTTATTAAAGTTATGCAGTTTTTTGCTATTTATCAGCATATATGCAACGCTGATAAAGCAGTTCAAGGAAAACCAATGTCCATTGTCCTGAAATTAATAGGCTATAAAAGAAGTGATCAATCTTACTAACATACAGGTCGATTCTAAAATTAACTTGATCGTATAATTTAGGAAAAGTCATGCAGTTTTTTGCCTTTTTTACCGTACATTTAACACTGATAGCACATTCCAAGAAAAACCAATAGGCCAATTATATTGAAACTAATAGAAATGATTAACCTTACTAAATACAGTAAATCAAGTAAAAAATCAAGTAAAAAATTAACTCGATTACCTCAATTTTGATAAAGTGTTGCCTTTTTTGTATATGAGTGTTTTCTCTTCAGATTCGATAGCCATATTAACAGTCTCATTATTGAACTAATCAGATATGTTAAAGTGTTCTTTTGACATTTTCTGCATCTTATCAACATTGTTAGTGAATATAAAAGCAAGTGTCAAAAATGGATATCAACTCACATCATTGCAGTTTGTCAGGTTCAATCATTCACTATGTTCAGAATCTCAAAATGGTGCAAATTGGACATTTAAAATTGTCCTATTGATATTTTCCTACATTGTCAACAATTTTCTTAGTTGATCATTAAAAATAAAAGTAAATTGATGGTTTGTTTTATTTAAAAAAAGGGTGTTGAAAATGGAAAGAAACTCATTTCAGTACAGTTATGTTTTGTTTACATTTAGGCATTTTCAAGGTGTGACTTTAAACTTCCATTAGCTTTCAGACCTTTGCTAGTCACAATTGCTGAATACCCACGATACTTATACTTAATTATTAAAGATAAGTGGTGATTATGCTGTTAAGCATTATGTAATATTGCATCAAAATTGAAGAAAACACTATTTTGGGCACTGCATCCATAGTGACAATTAAAGGAAAACCATGCGACGTACTCTTCTCAAATTTACAGGGGCCGGTTTCACAAAGCAGTAGTTAGTTAGAACAACTATAACTACTGAACTACCTCGCTAACTAGAAAACTTAGCGATTTTTGAGGGGTGTTTCACGAAGCAGTCGTTAACTCATCGCTAAGTTCAGTCGTAAAGTTCGGTCGTTAGTTCTCTCGTTACTCACCGTAGTCTCGAAACCGTCTGCCGGAAGTGGAACTCTTGCGTAAAAGTGTCACGAAAGCACTAACTCTCCAATTTTTGGTGGCTGGAAATGCATAAGAACGTCTGCTTTGAGGTCGTCGTAAAGGATCTCCACCACCTTTTTGCCGCTCTTTTTGTCACAGCTTGGCGCAACCTCTCGTAAATTGCATCATCGTGTGTATATTCTAATAGATTCTGCCTTTCATGAAAACGTCGTAGTCTACGTTGCCGTCTGGCAGTACGGATATCGAGAAAGGCAGCCGCCATATTGCATACAAAGACAAACGACAGACAACGGTAACTAAGCAACCTTTTTATTTCACTCATTACGCATGCGTACGATGAAACTCTAGAGTTAGCGACTGGTCTGACCAGTCGTTAAATATCCAAGGCAACAACGAGACAATAACGAGCGAGAGAACTAGCGACTGCTTCGTGAAACGGCACTATAACTAGCGAGAGGCTAACTACCGATCGCTAACTAACTACTGCTTTGTGAAACCGGCCCCAGGAAAGAAACAAAGGACTTAAGTACAGCTTTAGTTTGAAGATCTGTCCTATTGGTTAATTTTACTGGAAGTTAAAGGGATAACAACTCTTCCAATGAGATCCAAGTTTCACAATAAATACATTGTAAACAACTCTTAGAAATAGTACTTATTCTATTTTACCACAAAAACGACAGTAATAGCAATAAATCTGAAATATGTGCTTGCCATCCGACCATGTGGAATCCATAGAAAGCTATACTCTGTAATTATCTCTTAAGAAATTATTACAAAAAAATAACAATTAGAAAAAAATACAGACTTACTTTGAATGTAGAAATGGATTCATTAACCATTGGTAAGTATGGGAAAATTGCAGTTTACCCCAGGAAAAATTTTTTTTTTGTCCAAAATGAACAGTTGTTATCCCTTTAAACTGTTTTTGTTAAAATTTAATGTTTAACATATGGGCATTTTCAATCAAATGTTCTAAATATCCATGTCATTAATAGTTGAAAATTAAAAATGGGTGTATATTATAAAGTTAATCATTATGTAATATTGGATCAAAATTGACAAAAAACTTTCTTCGTGCACTGCCACCACAAATGTTAAGAAAGCAAAACTGTGTTACTTATTATTTTTTGTAACTTACTAATTATTTTTTTGTTACTTACAAGAATGGTTCTTAGGATTGATATTCATCTCACAATACTTTCTTCCAAACAGTAGGCCTGTATTATGAGCTCATTAAATCAACTTACTGATGCACTAAAGACAGGTGGGAAAGATATCATTTATTTTTTTAAGTTGATTATACCATCTTAAAAAATTCAAAACGGCCGTTAGCAATCATGGATATGTTTTGTGGCTCCAAAAAATGAATGGTGTCATACTTCGTCCTAGCTTCAAACGCCATTCAAAGTGTTCAATGTATTTTCCTTCTACTTAAAAAGGGTTTACAGTTACCGTGTTAAACATCTACCAGTCTTATTTAGGTGAGAATGATTGCAAATGGATGTTTGTCTATGGAGTAGCATATTCACAATTGAAGAGAGAGGGGGGGAATAGAGTACAATAACACAGGTCATCCACACAGTGAACTTGACTTCAGACATTTATTTATCTCACTTAATGGTGAAATAATCTTGCAATCATGTGATAAAATAAAATTTCACTTATTCGAGAATCTCAGACCAACTGGCTGCAGGGGGCATCCCGCAAACTGAAAAAAAAATATATAAAAATGAGACACCATTAAAATATTTAAAAAACAGCTGAATATGAGGGTTTTTTTTTAGTTTTTCAAAGTAAAATGTACTTTATTTATATCTTGATCGATGGGTAAATGCGATCTTTGAGAAAATTAATAAATCACACCCATCACAATTTTAAGTTCACCCGGTCGAATCTGATGTGATGTTATATAACACCCAGTCACGTATAACACAATTAAGTCACAACTAACACAATTTTATAACACAGTCAGTGACAACTTACACAATTTTATAACACATCCAGTGACAACTAACACAATTTTATAACACAGTCAGTGACAACTAACACAATTTTATAACACAGTCAGTGACAACTAACACAATTTTATAACACGCTCAAACACAACTAACACAGTTGTATAATATACTCAGTGACAATTAAAACAATTTTATTATACACTCAGGGATAACTACAGCACCAAGTCACAACTAAAGCAATGTAAAAGCACACACATTCACAAAAATTTCATGGACCGTGACTATTCCTTCATACCTCCAGTATGTTCCATTGCCACATACTTCTGTTCTCTCATAGATGGGTCCGAAGAAATACGGTTTAACAATCTGGCAACGTCGCTGGGACTGAAGCACATGTACCGGGTCCAGAGGTGATATGTATTCTCGCCAAGTTCTGGGTGGTATTGGCGGCACAATACGAAGTGACCATTTGTTTCTACAAGGGTTTTATAATACATAATGGTCCCATCTGAAAGGATGGGAATATAACTAGAGTTAGAGACAAGGTGTTTCAAAGAATTTGTTGAAATTATCATTGAAAAAGGAGAGAAATGTCAGCAAATGCAATTGTTCAGAGAGCTCAGACATCCACAAAAGTACCACAAATGGAATGATTATTCTTAATCAAGTAATGATTTTATACATCAATTTAGATATTAATTAAGCTCAATCAGCATTTATCAATTAACAATTCAAAACTTAAATACTGTCAAACCAACTCCTAGCCATAAGTATATGATCACAAAAAGTCATTATTATTATTATTATTATTATTATTATTATTATTATTATTATTATTATCTTGAACCAGATTCCAGAGGTCACCGGAAAGTCTTCTCTAGTTATAAGCTTCCTTTTAACCATTTTCTAGAAACTCCCTGAAAAGCGACGTAGGCTACATTGCACAATCTTACCGTCTTTTGTGGCTGCAAGAACACCTGGTTGCCCTGTTGGAAAATGTGTGAAGTCAAACTCGTCGCACGTGTTCTCATTTGACCAGCTGTAAAACAGAATGAAAACCAAGGTGAGGTGTGTGAAAGGTGGAGAGACCATTACATGATTTAGCGGTCTTCCTTTCATGTAAGGCCCGCCATATTTAGGTCGTGGTCTAGCTAGCACTCGGCTCTTCTCACTCTGAATGGTCCCTTATATAAGTGACGTATCTAAAAAAATTCTCGAATCCTCCAATCTGGTTTTATTTTAAATTAAATTAATATCGTCTATATATAAATGTTTGGGAATATTTGACAGGTATAACCAAGTATATTGGATTTTTTTTATAATCATTTTATATTGATTGATGTCACATGAGACAAGGATCAGTGTTAAGTCGGGCCTGGTTTGCAATAAAAATTAATCTTTCCGCTGAATTGTCGTCCTGACATGAAATACACAGTTGCTCTCTCCTGTATAACTGTAATTCCTAAAACCAAAAGGAAATCTCAAGGGAAACAAAAATTGTCAACGTCTTTTGTCTGCTATAAAATTTAGAGCTTACTCTGCGAAGCTCCCGAAATCTTCCTTTCTATCAAGCTAGCTTGTGAAGAATTGTCACTATATCGGTACATCTTTGTTGCTCTTACCTTCTAAACCTGTGCATTCTAAAACCGGGGCCGCCATTTTTCTCATCCAGGTAGGTCACATTTAAACGACCGTCCTGCAGATATCTAGACTTGTCGTGTGTAGACAGCAGGGTGACCACCAACTCCCACCAATTTCCATTTAACTATTAATAATAATATGAACAACAGCAACACTTATAATAATAATAATAATAATAATAATGATAATAATAATTATTATTATTATATCAACAATAGCAACAACATTAACAATAATAATAATAATAATAATAAGTTATACTTTAAAACTCGTTAATGGCATCACGTTTCATAATTTTTAATATTTTGGATTAAGATGGATTATATCCGGTTATAAAAGAAAAAGGCTTTTTAATCTATGGAAAGACTAACATGTATATCACAGCATGCTTTTTAAGGGACGTACCTTACTCAAATCAAGATCTGCGATGGGAGGAAGGTTGCACTTCTTAGGAAATGACATAATTCTGACCTTTTTCCTCGACGACACCAATATAACCACACTGCAAGCAACCAGCAGAAAGAGTAACCTGTACATTTTGCTGCTATGAGATGCACTCGTATTTAGGCAGTAACACGTAGATGAGCTAACAAAAATTGATAACCGTGAGCTGCAATAAATAGTGCCTCGATAGCTTGCTTTCTCGGGTCCTACGGTTCTGTTAATAGACAGACTTAACAATACAGAAGCTGCGCTATTACAATTATTACCTCGGCACTTGTTTCTCTTTAAGATAAATGTTGTATTTCCGATGTAACAGGTTGACCTTCACAGGGCTATAACCATTCATATGGTTTCTATTTATGAGGTTTGGTTGATGAGCCAATGGTATCATTCCTTTCAACACTTCCTCGTCCACCATACGGGGACTTTGGTGATAACCCCAGGAAAATTCTCTTTCAGATCTGAATAAAATTGTTTACTATTATGTTTTAAAAGTGACATTATGTTAATTGCTATATTTATGTGCTTATCTCCTAGACCTACATGTACGGGCTCTAACGGAGCGCCATTTTTCTAATCCAGGTAAGTAATACTGATGCCGAACTTCTGCATATACTTCGACTTACAGTATATCCTGTGCAGGCGGCAGGGTGACGACCAACCCATAACAAACTCCAGTTAACTATTAACAAAAACAACAAGAACAATAAAAGCAACTGTTTTTTTGCTTTGGATTTTTAAATATTGGAATATACCAAGAAGGGATTTTAGTCCATGTACAATTAAGTGTGTCATGTGCGTTATGAAGCACTAGATACTTAATCAGCCTGGGATCACCCAGTACAAATACAATACCACAGGTTATACTGTTGTTTGAAATAAACGTGCTCTTAAGTGTATTATGACGCTGACACTTTAAAGTTGAAGTCGCGCCTTTAAACTGCTTTAATTTGTGGTTCACTGTCAGTAAGTATGTCACCCACCAGAACTCCACGGCACTCTATATGAATTATATCGGAAGTCCTATATTAGGATTCTTATGTAGGAAATACGTCCCACAGGACCCTATTAGTTGGCAAAAAATAAATAAATAAATAAATAAATAAATAAATAAATAAATAAATAAATAAAAATAAGAACAAAGAATGTAAAAAATATGAATACGTTTGTCTCATTAACTAGTTGGAAGGCTTCTCCATCAGTATGACAAAGTTTTTTTAAGAATAACATTGATAACCATTCTTAGACCAACTGAGTCAACATGTAGGCCTCTCTCATAAGGGACTGGTAATTACTGCGGTTTAATGGAGCAATCGACCCAGTCTAAACATACAATATTTTGGATCAAACTCTCTGAATGACGAAACAATAAATATTGGACATTGGATTGTTAGAGTAGCAGGTTTCCAATGCAGGCACATGTACTGTTTTGACACATCTGTGTGAAGGGTGTTTTTGACATGCATTTGTCACTTAAACAATTCTACCAAATGTTTTTTTTTTCCTCTACCAATTTGTGCGTATGCATTTAGTACAGAATAATTGGAGTACCGGTATATAAGGCAACATTGATGACAATTTTTTATCGTGTTTGTGCCGTCTCCTGTAATATGATAAAAGAAACGGAGACTGGTGTACAACGAGAATTATTCAACAGTACACTTTTTAAAAGGCCTGTTAAAAATGAACAGTTGTTCATAAGACATGACTTTTCTGAGGTGATAATTTTATCAAATTTCGAATATTTGTAAAATAGATTAAAAAGACTGTAAGCCACTATGTGTTCGACAAGATTGATTTTTTAAAAATCAGCATTAATTTTCTCAGGTTCATTTGTTATTTTATACGTTGGTAAAAAAATAAGAACAAAGAATGTAGAATATATGAATACGTTTGTCTCATTAACTAGTTGGAAGGCTTCTCCATCAGTATGACAAAGTTTGTTAAGAATAACATTGATAACCATTCTTAGACCAACTGAGTCAACATGTAGGTCTCTCTCATAAGGGACTGGTAATTAAATGCAGCAATCGGTCCAGTCTAAACCCGCAAAATTTTGGATCAAACTCTCTGAATGACGAAACAAAATATATTGGAGACTAGATTGTAAGAGTAGCAGGTACATATACTGTTTTGGCTCATCTGTGCGAAGAGTGTTTTTAACATGCATTTATCACTTTAAAAAAATCTACCAAATGTCTATTTTCCTCTACCAGTTTGTGCGTATCTAGCTATTTCAGAATGATTGGAGTACCAGTATATAAAGCAACATTGATGACAAGATGTTTTTGTAGTGTTTGTGCCGTTTCCTGTAATATGATAAAAGAAACGGAGACTGGTGTGCTACGAGCATTATTCAATAGAATGCTTTTTAATAGAACTGTGAAAATGAACAGTTGTTCATCAGACGTGATTATTCTGAAGTGATTAATTTTAAAATTTCCTAGTATTTGTTTATGTAAAATAGAATGAAAAAGACTGTGGGTCACTTTGTGCTCGACAAGATTAATTTTAAGATTATCGGCATTTTAATTAAATAATTAAAATTATCTCGGGTTCATTTGATATTCTATTTATGTACAGGCACACGTGTGTCATCTTATTTAGGTGAGAATGATTGCAAATGGTTGTTTGTCTGTGGAGTAGCATATTTACAGTTGAAGAGAGAGGGGGGAATAGAGTACAATAACACAGGTCATCAACACAGTGAACTTCACTTCAGATATTTATTTATATCACTTAATGGTAAAATAATCTTGCGGCCATGTGATAAAGGAAAATTTCACTTATAAGAGAATTTCAGACCAACTGGCTGCAGGGGGCATCCCGCAAACTGAAAAAAAGTTATCAATGAGACTCCATTAAAATATTTAAAAACACACGACTTGTCTGTTAACGGCTGAATATGAGGTAATAGAACTGTTTATTTATTTATTTATTTTTTTCAAAGTAAAATGTACTGATGGGGAAATGTAATCTTGTCAACTAACACAATTTTATAACACACTCAGTGACAACTGGAAAAGCACCGAGAGCGCAGACCTCCGCCAATGCAGCAATTATTTTTATTATTATTGATTATTGATTGAATATTGAATCACTTCTAAGTTAATCCATTTCTGACCTACCCTGAAAATTTCACCAAAATCGGTCCATAACTTTTTTAGTTAGGTTGATGATTGATTTTTGATTATTAATTATTGATTGCTAATTTATCTGGATCACCACCAAAAACTAATCATCTTTTCCATGGCCTACTTATGACAGTTCCGGAATATTTCGTCAAAATAAGCCCATAACCTTTTGAGTTATGTTGATGACATACATACAAACAGATAGACAAACAGGGGTGAAAACATACAAACTAACACACTGCTACAGCACCAAGTCCTAATTAAAACAATGTAAAACCACGCCCAGCCACAACAATGCCACGGACTGTGACTGTTTCTACATACCTCCAGTATGTTCCATTGCCACATACTTCTTTTCTCCCATGCATGGGTCCGAAGAAATACGGTTTAACAATCTAGCAACGTCGCTGGGACTGAAGCACATGTACCGGCTCCAGAGGTGGTATGTGTTCTCGTCAAGTTCTGGGTAGTATTGGCGGCTCAATACAAAGTGACCATCTGTTTCTATAACAGTATCGTAGAACATTATGGTCCCATCTGAAAGGATGTAAACATAACTAGAGTTAGAGACAAGGTTTCTCAAATAATTTGTTGAAATTATCAGGATAAATAAATATTGAGGAATGTGAGAAATGTCCGAAAATGCAACTATTCACATAGCTCAGACTTCCACCAAAGTACCACAATGAGAATGATTATTACTCTTAATCAAGTAATGATTTTTTTAAAAAATCAGTTAAGTTATTAATAAATTAATTAATTAAGAAGCTCAATTATCATTATCAATTAACAAATCAATACTCAAATACTGTCAAACCAACTCCTAGCCAGTTTTACGTAAGTATATGACCACAAAAAGTCATTATTATTATTATGTTGATCTTGAACAAAATCCCAAAGGTCACCTGAAAACCCCCTCTCTAGTTAAAAGCTTCCTTTCAGGCATTTTCAGTGAGATTTCCAGAAACTCCATTAAACACGGCAAAGGCTTAATTACACAAACTTACCGTCTTTTATGGCTACAAGTACTCCCGGTTGTTCTGTTTGATAATACGTAAAGTTATATACGTCGCACGTGTTCTCATTTGACCAACTGTAAATCAAATTTAGAACCAAGGCTGAGTGCTTGCTGATTTTGCTTGGTTATTTGCTTGGTTATTAGTTTCCATTTAGATACAAGTGGCGTTTCTAAAAAAAAAGTTCCATTTACAAAACCGTGGGTCTTACTTATATGTGCCACCATAGAACTAACCAGCTCAGGGCGCCATTGGATGCTAAAACGCGCCACATTGGACGCTCGAGATCAGAGTCCCATAACTTGAAAGCATCGCGCATTGCGAATAACGATATCACACAGAGGCTACAATGTATTATATGGGGCGAGTATGGGCGAGTTGTGGAATCGAGACGCTTGCGCTCGGTCGCAATACGCGATGCTATCGAGTTACGG